ATGGGTCGTTTCACAGCGGTCGCACTTCTCCTTGCTCAGCTGATTGCCATCTCACTTGCGTGTATCAGCTCTAGTTCTGGTCGCCCCGGTGGCGTAGATTTATCCGACAACACGGAGTTCTACCCAGAATACGACAAGTCACGCGGCTTCATTGGTCTCGGGCTTGAACACCGGTACGTCACGTGACACATTTTACCTGTCTTCTGTTCCTGACCCCCCCTCTCTCTCTCTCTCTCTCTCTCTCTCTCCCTCTCTCACTTTCCGTTTCTTCCTCCCTTCCTTATTCCAATTAAGTATCATAATTATTTATTTTATCACTCATAGTGTGCCGCACTTCTCATCTTATGCTTTTCCCCAACAGCCCAACCTTCTCATCGCTCACACCCTTCCACTAACCATTTACTAAAATTGGGTTTCCACATTCCCCCCCCCCCCCCTGTTCCTCTTTCGTTTGATTCATTGCAAATTTCAAACTGACTAATCAGACCTCCATTCCCCAAAAAGGAACAGCCACATCTTTAAAATTGGAAAAAAATAGCTCATCTCAACAACTTTTCATTGCTTACATTAATTGTCTATAGTATTGACGTCTCGTAGTTCTTCTTTCGTTAAATTTTGTAATGTTTGGTTTCTTTTGAAATTAAAATGGAAGTAATTTGAATCCATACAAGATTTATGCTAGTGCCCTTCCTACAGATGTTAATAGTAAATGCGTTAGAGGCAGTAGCCCTCATTGCATTTTGCACATCCTCCCCAATTTCGATGAAATTCCATGTGTGCAAGCTTTTTCGCATGAGGATAATCCTGCGCAAATTGTTTAGATCAAATGAACATATAGGTTGGGGATAAGAAGTGAAGATATTTTCTCGAATCAAAGAAAATAAGGAAAATCTATTTCCTTCTTATTTCAAAACTACTGGTCCGTTTGCTCTCAAATTTGATCGGGGTCATTCTAATGCCAAAGATGTTTTTTTGTTTGTTATTGAAATTCCTCAAAATCGGAGAGGTTGCGCAAATGAGGGCTATTAACTTTAAGTCCCAGTTTTATATCCGATTTATTAAAAGTTATCATGGGTATCGTTTTAGACCATTTTCCAAAACTATTTTTTTTTCCTTCTTGATATATGCGATATTAACTTTTTTGATAGTAATGAGGTATTTTTGTTTATAAAATCAGAGAATTCAAAAGTTTAGGCCAGAACAAAATGTAATAAGGATGTCGATGATTTCTTTATTAAAAGAGTAACACAAAACAGTACATTCGTGTACAAATAACTTGCACATGTAGATTAATCATTTGCCAAAGGTTATCTTATTATACATCTCTGGTATCGTTGTTGTAGGGGTTGGGGCTGTTGTTGATTATGATGATAATGATTTCGATAATAATGGTGGCGATGATGATGAGGATTACGACTACGATGTCTCATTTTAAGCCTGTTATATTCGCTTTTAATATCCCATCTTTTCCACCATTTCTTGTTCTTTTTTTGGAATTAATAGCCCTAGCCATGACGTGGATATTAACGTGAGACCCAGAGTCGATATCAGCGATGTTCTGGACGGAAGATTTCGACCACACGGCGATGTTGAACTGCAGTACCGGTTCGTGTTTTCTGTTATGGTTGTTTTTGTTGTTGCTCATTTTCTTTATTATCAAAAGCACAAGTTTGAATTAATGAATATACCGCACTGAATGATTGCCTTGCAAATTCTGCGTCACTTTGCTTGCTGCTCCTGGTGCTATTGCTGGAGAAAGTCTTAATCTGCCTCCTCCATTCGTCATGTACATCGTACAGGTCGATCCGATGATGTGGTCTATATGCTGATGTTGCTTTTTACCCCTTTCTCTCCTTCCTCCCCTCCATTTTGTCTCAGTTTTCTGACAATTCGCTCGTGATTTGACTTCGCTTTTTGTTAACGTTTTTGCAAAGTGAAATATCATGTACGCGTTCATTGCATGCTCGCTAAACATGGTCTAACAACGCCCGGATAATTACCATAATACATAAAATAATCTTCAAATTTCCATCAAATATCAAATAAAACTTGCAAGATTAAATTGTAAACAAATATATTTAACAAAACAATTATCATGAGCATTTTCAAATGTATTTAATTAATCACATATCAATAAATTTGATATTTTAAAACTTAATAACGAACTGTCAATCGAAACTCGGGATAAATCACGCACGCATGACCAGACTCGGTTTTTCGCGAGGTAGGCAAGTTGGCAATCACTACATAACATTGACCCAATGGGTATTACGCTCCCGTGCGTAAAATGTTCGCAAGAAGGTATAGGTATCGCACGTCCGTGTGCTGCCCTCTATAAACAGACACATGAGCATATGTGCTGCGTCATGGGTTCTCGAATGAGACTACAGTGGGTAGCGCCATGACAGTTAACTTACACAGATGTGCGGTGGGTGAGTGACGCTAGTCACGATCCATTAATGACAACCCCCCCCCTTATTTTTTTTTTAATGTTTATCTTTTTTTGGAACCCACCCCCTTTATTTTTAATGAAAATAATTTAAAAATCCCAAAAAAAAAATCCCCCCAACGGAACGGAATGTCGATCGGTCCACTTTTCAAATTTCGAGACCCCCCCCCCTAAAAAAAAAAAAAAAAATGTCCTTCCCCCCCCCCCCCCCCCCCGCTTATTCAGCGGCTGGATCAGTCGTTGAGAAATTTTTGGCCCGATTTCAAAATGTTAACCCCCCCCCCCCTCTTTGGAAAAATCCTGCGTACGCCACTGCCCGTACAATTAACTGGTAAAGCGTTTATAAAGCGACATATTATTGCAAGTAATTACCTTAGTGGTGCACGGGCTTTTTGTTTTGCTATGTGTTGAATTTTTGTTGAATTTTGTTTCTTTTCTTTCTGCCCCATAATGTATCAGCACAAGATTATGTAATAATGTTCTGTAAAATATGTTGATTAGGATACGCGTATGAAATAAACATACGTACTTGCATCATTTCAGTGATGATAAACTGCAGTTACAAAGAGATTGATGGGAACATTTACGTTAGAAGCAGTGTTTCTCAGTAGCTATATACCAATTCGATTCCAGATGTCTAAAAAGTCGTATGGGTCACATCTACGCCAGGCCGGAGAGGGTGGGGGGGGGGTAGGTTGTCCTCTATTGCTTGAATGTCCACAATATCAATGCCCGTATAGTGGTTGTTGCTTGTCCAAATATATGCTGAAAAAGAAATTAATTTAAATAAAAGAATTTAAAGAACTTGTCAATAATTGCTGAAATTATAATAATGTTTCATTTGGAATATTATACACACAGTTTCTTTAGCTCGTATCATTTGTTATGTAATGTTGTTGTACTTTTATTAACTCAATTCAAATTTCAGCCTGATTTGTGTTTCATAGAGCAAAAATGTGTTCAGAATAGTTAACCCTTCGTACTGAATACGAACATTCAAGAAAAAAAAATTGAACAAGGTGATTAGTATTAAAAGTTTCTTTGCCTGTATCATAAGTTAATTGGCAAATAGTGTACTATTTAATTTACTCTAATGTTTTGTGGATCTACTCAAACTTCTTTCAAATATCTCCAATCCCCATCTCTTTATCACTCCCTCTTCCCCTTCTCCCTCTCTCTTTCTCCCTTTCTCTCTCTCTCTCTCTCTCTCTTTCTCTTTCTTAAACATTATCATTACTATACAGGCCGAATGAAAACACCAAGGTGGACGTTAAGGTCGGCTTGGATCCAAATGGTGAGCCACGCGTGAACGCTGGATTCACTGTCCGGTAAGTTATTGGCTTTTCTAACATCTTTTTTTTTTGGTGGTACTAAGGCCTCTCTTAGCACCACCTAAAGTCCCGAACTATTCGCTTGGCCCTGCTCACATTCACATCTCTCGTGAACCGATATCGGTGTTTAAAAACAAAATAGATATAGATGGAGGGGGAGGGGTTGTACATCCCCATGAACTAATGTATACTTACTCTTTGTTATTATAAAAAACAATATTAATTTGAGCTACGTATGGAAAAACACTGGACAAAAAAATCAACATGATTATTAATAATAATATAATTAAGTTGTGGCAAACTTAGTTATTATCACAGCTCAAACCGTTGAGATACTTTTTTTTCTTCTTTTTTCTGCAAAAAATTAGCTTCAGGCGCAGCATCGAAAATGATACCTTGGTCAATATCGACATCAGCGGGAAACTCTTCGAAGTACTCGACCTCAACGGTGACGACCAGCTTGATGTTAAAGAATGGTTCGATGACGGAGGTAAAGTCAGACCATTTGCTGACATGATCGGTGATCACGACAATAACTGTAAGTGAAAGATATTATTCTCTCAATTTAATGAATGACTCAGTTCTGACTCTCCACTGAAAACATTGTTTTGGGAGAGGGGCAGAGACAGAGATAATACATGCAGAGGGATATGGAGTGGAAGATGTGAAAATTCGTAGACGAAATAAAACGCCCCATCTGTATTTGTGCTCTGTAAAGTAATTTCGAAGAGAGGGTTTGATTACATTTTGGTGCCTCTAGCTAGATCGTTGTTAGATAGTGGACATATCAAATAGAGGTAATCAACGTCATCAGTTATACCATTTCTTTCTCACTTACTATTATCGTTCGCACCATTCGCAGGCTCTTTTCTTTTTACACTTGTTCCTTGTTCCATCTTTTCTCGCCATGCATCCTCGCAGCTGATGAGATGATCTCGCTTGAAGAGTTCCTCGCCATTCCTGTCGATCCTGCTCTCATCGTGGCCATCGACCAGATTATGAGGGGCGACCACGACTAAAACCATTGACGTCATAATGGACGATGCCGACCCCTTCCCTCGGTTGGAAACGCTCTAGATCATCCTTATTACAGGGGCGGGAATTTCCTATCTATGCTTATTCAGTTTGTGCGTTGTCGTGCGTAGAAGGACAAGGGTGGGGCTTATGGGGTGGGCCGTAGAAATAGTACCATGGCTATGGATGGCAAGAAATAAAGTAAGAGGTAATTGAAATGTGGGTTGCCGAATCAATGAAGAGAACAATAACTTCTCCTTGATGTCGTAAATGTATGACTTGTGTAGAAATTAGGTAATTATTTTTTAGTAATACCATTTTAATTACTATTTTTTCGTTTTAGAAGGGAAGGGGATATGCGGGTTTAAGCCTTAATTGCGGCCATGCACTTCCATGCTCTATACTCGCTTTTTTAAAATTTATAATAATGCGATATTAAATTTTACGTTTGGACATTTATAACTGTGGATTTAAGAAATATTTCATGTTGACATTAAACCTAATCGACTTTGAATTTGGTTTGTATTGCAACTAATGTAATTTCATGCAAAGATTTGCAGTTTATATCAAGTCGTGATTGAAATTAATAAACTTTGGCATATCATTTACGTACGCTATGTGACCTTAATCATTCTGCATTAACTAAAATTTATATCTAGATGTGTGTTTGTGTGTGGGTGTGAATGCGCGTGTGTGCGTGTGCTTGAGTATCTATGTGATAACGTTCGTGATAACGGTTGGGTATCGTTCACTTTATCAAACAGATTATCACATTGATTATAAATCTCCCATTCAATGGAATAATGTTGCTAAACAAGCCATTATCTGTTTCCAGTTCTTTGATTAAATCAATTGGATATTTTTCTTAGCGTGTGTGTGGGCATGTGTGTGAGAAAATGTTCATTGTGTATGAGTGTGAGTGGATGTTGTTATCCTTATCAAACAAAATGACACATATTCATTTTTTTGCGAAGTGTAGGTAGGCGTGTGTGTGTATGAATGTGCAGGTGTGCGTGCGTGTGTATGTGTAAGTGGTGTGTCGATAATGTTTATCATACTTATCAAACAAACATTCATCTATTTCGATTTTTAGTTTGTGTGTTGGTGTGTGTATGACTGTTTGTGTGTGCGTGGGTGGGTATGTGTCCTTATCAAACAGACTGCTTATCGAAGAAAATTCCATTGACTCAGCTTTTTAGATCATATGTCTGTGTGTGTGAATGTGCGCGTGCGTGATTTTCATACGTGTGGGTGATTGGTGTTGTTAAATCACGCATTCGTTGAATCATTTTTTAGTCATATGAGCGTGCGTGTTTTGGGGATCGTTGGTGTAAGGGACTTAGCGGGTGTTAAATATTCACTTTATCAAACATACTTTCACATTGATTATAATTTTCCCATTAAACGGCATAATATTAAATTCACACTTACATGTACTTGGGTGCAACCTTACAGCCCCACTGCACTGCTTATAGCTACTTGCGCCCTCTACAAAGCAAACAATGCATAATCAGTGACCATTGGTCCCCCATGATCCTCTTTTTCTTATGTTAATTGAGAGCTGATGTGATGAGATAACCACCTGTCAGTGACCATGCTGGGAGGTCTCATCCCTCCTGGCCGAACTAGTGCCGTTGGGCTTTTACATCTTGCTGATTCACTCTACAGCTTACGTTCTGCATCTTTTCTTTTCCTTTCCTCACTATAATAACATACGCCATAAGTCACTGTGATTTAGTAAAACTTATAAAAAATATAATAACACGAAAATGTTCACAGAGTAAACAATGTTTGGTATATTGTATTCATATGTTAATGATTTATTTTTGAGATATGTTTTTTGGTGCGGTGTAATGACACAGCTTAGCCGGGCGATCCTGGGAAATTATTTTTGTCATGTTTTAACGTACGCTATTATTAATTGTCATTATATTCGGCAAATGAAAAGAAAATTAAATCAAGTCAAAAACATAATATATTAGATATCACACTACTACCAACATAAAAATATACAACTATGTACAGTATACGATTATTTAATAAGAACATACATGTAATAATAATAACAGCAATAGCTCGTTTTTATATAGGGCTTTTCTTAAGCCCAATGTTGACCCAATATTCACTAGGGTATGTACATCTAGCTTTATAAATCAATGAAAGTTCATTGTTTAATGACATCAAGTACATATCAGAATCAGCAGACCTTGTGAACGACATCCGGCGACGGAACCACTCGAACACTCGACCACGACACAATAAGACACTAATTTTAGGCATTACATTAGTACTTTGCCATAGGACATGCAGGATATTAGGTAATCACATTATTTTACTAGAGGCATACATTTACGCTCCTACCCCATGGGCCGCATAAATACAATTAGAGAAATAAAGCCGAGCAATTTGGAGCGTACAACAGGAGCCACGTTCTTATTCATGTTCTAGCAAACAAATGCTTCCCCATGTCGAACGATTGCTTGCTAATTCTAGGAGTCCACTGGGCCGGCGCCAGTTGGTGCCAGTTAGCGCCAAAGATTATGTGATTGGCGCGTAGTGGCTCGCTGTGGCGCCGAATTAATGTCCGCTCGGAATGTGTCGCCAAGTGGAATAAACTGGGTGCCATATGGCGTGCGCCAAATGCCACCCGGCTTGCTCCAAAATGTTGCGCCAGTTCGCGCCAGTTTGCGCCAGTTTGCGCCATTACACGGCCATTTGATTCCAAAATTCACCCTGTTGGCGCCATTCGCGCCAATAGACGGCTACTTTGCGCCACTTGGTGATTAGTTTGTGCCAAAGGTCGCCAAATTGGTTTGAACTTGCCGCCGCTTGCCGACTAAATAAATACCGGTCATTGGGTACCTGGTTCAGACCCTCCTCAGCTGCTGTATGAACAACATCTCTACTAAATATTTACAATTTTGATATGTCTGAGGCTTTTGGTAATGTTGGAGTGATGATGCTGCTCCATCAGAAGATGATGAGAGATGCTGAGGTGGCCACTGCCTATCAACTTATGCTGGTCAATCCTGAAGAAGAAGAGCCTCCTAAGAAGAAAAGGAAGCACAACTGGTGGTTTAGACCCATGCTCCACCCACAGTTGAGGGCCGAACGTGGACAGTACCACACTTTGGTGGAAGAGCTGAGTGAGAATGACAGGAGGAAGTTCAAGAACTACACCAGGGTGTCCCCAGAGATGTTTGATGACCTGTTGGTCAGGCTTACACCCCACTTGCAGAAGAAGGACACCCACATCAGGAAGGCCATTCCCCTGGTCTCAAGTTGTCCGTCTTCCTGCGCCATCTCGCCACTGGGGCCACCTATGCCGAGCTGTCTTACAACTTCCGAGTGGGCAAGGAAACCATCCAGAAGTAGATGTAGATGTAGATGTAGCCAGAGCGGTAGTGGATGAGTATGCTGCAGAAGTCATCTCCCTCCCCACAACCAATGAAGGCTGGCTTGAGGTTGCAGGTGATTTTGAAGCCAGATGGAATCTTCCTCACTGTCTGGGAGCCTATGATGGAAAGCACATCCGTCTCCAGAAGCCCGACAAATCAGGCAGCCTTTACTTCAACTACAAGCAGTTCTTCTCCGTTTTCCTGATGGCTCTGGTAGATTCAAAGTACCAGTTCATGTGGATCGATGTGGGTGGGGTTGGCCATCAGTCTGATGCCCAGATCTACAACAACAGTGAACTGAAGGAGTGCATTGAAGCTGGCACTCTAGGCATCCCAGATCCAGCTCCTCTTCCCCATGATGATGAAGAGCACACTATGCCGTACTTCTTCGTGGGAGACGATGCCTTCGCCATGAGGACGTACATGATGAAGCCCTATGGCCGTCGTAACATGGACCAACAGCAGAAGATCTTCAACTACAGGCTGTCCAGGGCAAGGCGTGTGGTTGAAAATGCCTTTGGTATTCTGGCTCTGCGGTTCCAGTGCTTCCTTGGCCAAATGAGACAGGAACCAGACACAGTCCGCCTGCTCATTGGAGCTGCCGTCATGCTGCACAACCTCATCAGGAAGCACTATCAGGCACTGGACGTCCGCATGTTGGACCAGGAGGATGCCCAGCACAACCTCATCCCTAGAGCTTGGAGAACTGCCGCCATCACTGTGAGAAAGTCCTGCGATGCCGCCCTGCTGTTATAGGCGGCAAGTGGCGCCGAATGGCGGGCAATCAGGTGGCATTTGGCGCGAAGTAGTCACCAATCGGGTGCCGTTTGGCTCGCGTAGTGGCGCAAACAAGGTGCCCCTTGGCGCCAAGTGGCGCCATGTGGCGCGAAATCTCATTGGCGCAACTTGCGCGCGCCATTACATTCCAGTGGATTCCAATAGGCGGATTGTTTGCGCCAAAGGGCGATATGTTCGCGCCATTTGGTGCCACTTGGCGGACACTTGGCGCTGATTGCTCGATGCAAGTGGCGCGACGAAAATTTCAAACATTTTGAAATTTTCTTGCCGCCACATTCAAATTTGGTGCCGTTACGCGCCACCACGAGCCAGTTGGGAGGCAGTTTGAGCCACTACACGCCACTAGGCACCTTATTGGCGACTCTAGGCGCCACAGTAAATTGCATTGGCGCAAACTGGCGCCAACTGGCGCCGGCCCAGTGGACTCCTTAATGCTAGGAGTCCACTGGGCCGCGCCAGTTGGCGCCAGTTTGCGCCAATGCAATTTACTGTGGCGCCTAGTGTCGCCAATAAGGTGCCTAGTGGCGTGTAGTGGCTCAAACTGCCTCCCAACTGGCTCGTGGTGGCCCGTAACGGCACCAAATTTGAATGTGGCGGCAAGAAAATTTCAAAATGTTTGAAATTTTCGTCGCGCCACTTGCATCGAGCAATCAGCGCCAAGTGTCCGCCAAGTGGCACCAAATGGCGCGAACATATCGCCCATTGGCGCAAACAATCCGCCTATTGGAATCCACTGGAATGTAATGGCGCGCGCCAAGTTGCGCCAATGAGATTTCGCGCCACATGGCGCCGCTTGGCGCCAAGGGGCACCTTGTTTGCGCCACTACGCGAGCCAAACGGCACCCGATTGGTGACTACTTCGCGCCAAATGCCACCTGATTGCCCGCCATTCGGCGCCACTTGCCGCCTATAACAGCAGGGCGGCATCGCAGGACTTTCTCACAGTGATGGCGGCAGTTCTCCAAGCTCTAGGACGTCCCATGCCTGATAGTGCTTCCTGATGAGGTTGTGCAGCATGACGGCAGCTTCAATGAGCAAGCGGACTGTGTCTGGTTCCTGTCTCATCTGGCCAAGGAAGCACTGGAACCGCAGAGCCAGAATACCAAAGGCATTTTCAACCACACGCCTTGCCCTGGACAGCCTGTAGTTGAAGATCTTCTGCTGTTGGTCCATGTTACGACGGCCATAAGGCTTCATCATGTATGTCCTCATGACGAAGGCATAGTCTCCCACGAAGAAGTACGGCATAGGGTGCTCTTCATCATCATGGGGAAGAGGAGCTGGATCTGGGATGCCTAAAGTGCCAGCTTCAATGCACTCCTTCAGTTCACTGTTGTTGTAGATCTGGGCATCAGACTGATGGCCAACCCCACCCACATCGATCCACAGGAACTGGTACTTTGAATCTACCAGAGCCATCAGGACAACCGAGAAGAACTGCTTGTAGTTGAAGTAAAGGCTGCCTGATTTGTTGGGCTTCTGGAGACGGATGTGCTTTCCATCATAGCCTCCAAGACAGTGAGGAAGATTCCATCTGGCTTCAAAATCACCTGCAACCTCAAGCCAGCCTTCATTGGTTGTGGGGAGGGAGGTGACTTCTGCAGCATACTCATCCACTACCGCTCTGGCTACATCAGGGACAAACTTCTGGATGGTTTCCTTGCCCATTCGGAAGTTGAAAGACAGCTCGGCATAGGTGGCCCCATTGGCGAGATGGCGCAGGAAGACGGACAACTTGAGACCAGGGGAATGGCCTTCCTGATGTGGGTGTCCTTTCTCTGCAAGTGGGGTGTAAGCCTGACCAACAGGTCATCAAACATCTCTGGGGACACCCTGGTGTAGTTCTTGAACTTCCTCCTGTCATTCTCACTCAGCTCTTCCATCAAAGTGTGGTACTGTCCACGTTCGGCCCTCAACTGGGTGGAGCATGGGTCTAAACCACCAGTTGTGCTTCCTTTTCTTCTTAGGAGGCTCTTCTTCTTCAGGATTGGCCAGCATAAGTTGATAGGCAGTGGCCACCTCAGAATCTCTCATCATCTTCTGATGGAGCAGCATCATCACTCCAACATTATCAAAAGCCTCAGACATATCAAAATTGTAAATATTTAGTAGAGATGTTGTTCATACAGCAGCTGAGGAGGGTCTGAACCAGGTAGCCAATGGCCGGCATTTATTTAGTCGGCAAGTAGCGCCAAGCGGCGGCAAGTTCAAACCAATTTGGCGACCTTTGGCACAAACTAATCACCAAGTGGCGCAAAGTAGCCGTCTATTGGCGCGAATGGCGCCAACAGGGTGAATTTTGGAATCAAATGGCCGTGTAATGGCGCAAACTGGCGCGAACTGGCGCAACATTTTGGAGCAAGCCGGGTGGCATTTGGCGCACGCCATATGGCACCCAGTTTATTCCACTTGGCGACACATGCCGAGCGGACATTAATTCGGCGCCACAGCGAGCCACTACGCGCCAATCACATAATCTTTGGCGCGAACTGGCACCAACTGGCGCCGGCCAAGTGGACTCCTAGCATAAGATACATTGGAACTGCTTTCTTTATCTAGCATTTACTTGGTTTTCTTGCTAGCTTGGCCCTTTATTGACTTTTGAGATCAGGCTTCTTTTTAATCTTGAATTTTTTTAAAAAATTGCATTTTAAGATTATTCGATAGCTTATACAGTTACATTATCACAAAAAGGAATAGCAATTTTCTTTGCCAATTTTTATCAGCTGTATGTTCATGTAAAATGACTGTACGAACATTTTCGAATATTGTTCGAGATCCCCATATGTTTGTCTCCTGGTACATGATGAATGGTTCCCATTGACAAAATTTTATTGCTTTGACTAATTGTTCTTACTTCTCTTACAAATGATTGATCGACATATATTTACAAAAGTAATTGAGAATCTTTGATGAATCGGCATAAAAAAAAGAGAATGAACATGTCAAACAAATATTGCCATTAATCGTGAATGATCGGCTTAGAATCAAGTCAAATTAATCTTTTCTTATCACTTACAACCTGTTTTGTCGTGTTCAATCACGTCAATATTGACGATGAGAAGGTTCTGTTATACCTGGTGGCAATTGAAGGTGACTGACTGTGGATGCATAGCACTCATTAACAAATATGACAGAAATTCTGAAATATTGAATGTATTAGACAAAGTTTGAAAGTATGAAATTAGATATATCATACACATAGAAGACAAGTTTAGATATACTTAAGAAACATACAATATTTATTCTAATATGAACTTACATTTTTTTATCGAGAAAAACCTTTGATCAGCCAATTTGTAACAGTAGTTTTCAAAAATCAAAATGAATATTTGATGAACATGTTTGGTTCATTTTGATCGTAGCAATGGGAACACAAAACAATGCTATTTAATTCCGTAAAGATTATTTTTAAGAAGAGAAAGTGTGATCGTGAAAAATAAGACCCCGCCCTCAATTAGTCTCTTACACATGTTACCCTTACACAAACTAGGTTTGTCCATTTACTAACATATTTATGATAAAGTTGACTGTCAGTGCTCCATAAATCACGGGTTACTTTATTCTGGGCTTAGACCTAGACAAAAATTAGTACGCTGTTATAAATACCTTCCGATATCAGGCAATGGACAACAAGGCTAGGGCTGTCAACTTGCACTCGTCAACAAAAGTCGTAAGAAAGCGCAGTTAGTTTTTGAAGCAAAAGATTGATCGAAAGCTTTCTCTGGCTGCACGTCGATAGGCTGCATTGGTCCGAGCAAATATGAACGCATTGCTCCAGGAATTCACAAGCGTTAACGTTGTCAGAAGAGCATCAGCAGTCTTCGACAGGGGATGACTGATCGCAATGGTAAGGAACAATCGTAAAATGGTGGGCACCCAGGAAATCAAATTCACTACGCTAATGAACAAGACAGTCTTGACCCCTTTGAGTTCAACTCTGCGATGTCCCGCGTCGTTCTCGCCAGCAAAACGAGGCACTGCTAAGGCGGCGATGGCTCGGGCTTGCCGAGTAGCTATGCCCATGGATATTAAGTTCAACGTTATACCAGTAGGAACGGGCACCAAGGATAGGGAATAGAGCGTAGCGACGATTGCTTTTTCCGAAGAAGTAAAATTCACACTCAATACAGTTCCATTCTGGCACGTGGAGGTGAGACGATATATCTTCTCCATGGGAGATCCTGGTATATAACATAGGAGCATAAATAATAAGGGGAAGCCTGTTGCTAAAGCGAGACAACAAACGGCAGAACGAATGTTAACGATTGATGGATACCGTAGCGGTTTGCTTATCGCAATATATCTGTCGATATTGAGACACGATATTGTGATGGCAGAGAATAGAAATCCTAAGTAAAATGTCCAGGACAGGAATCTGTACACTTGTGAGCGATGGCAGTCACTTTCCACAATGTAGAGAATGTAGCAACTGCATCCGGAGAGGCCACCTATTAGATCTACCACTCCAATATATCGATAGAGGAATCGTGGGACTTCTTCAAAGACACTCCAATGTCTTCGAAGGATAACTAAAGAGCAGACATTTGTCGATATCACGAGAAATCCGATGAAAACAAAAACAAAGCACAGACAAATATCGACACTTAGCATTGTTGATGGTTGTCAAGAGACGATCAGTAAGCATGAAGACTTGAACATCAGAAAGGGATCGACCGAAAGGACAGATACATGTAATCAACATGTTTTTATGTCCGCTGTTAAAAATTCAGTCCTTCCCATTCAGCAACTACACAGATAAGTGATAAAGCCTTGGCTATTACCAGCGACCAGACTTACTTTCCTCAGCGAGGCAATTAGTGTGAATAGCACGCCTTTTAAAGCCTCATTCGAGTGACTGATTTGACAGTTCTTAGCTGACTATGATCAAATAATCTGAAAGCTATAATATCACGGATGCTATGTTTGACACTTGTATGCAAACCGAATTGGGTCGTTGAGGCCTCGTAGTAATTAAAGAGAAGGTTATCAATTCTTGCTTTAAGTAGTCACGATACTACTCAAATAATGATTTCTCGTACCCCGGTGACTCTACGAGACTGGTAGTAGACCGAGCGAAAAAATAGATCTCCATTTCATGACAAAGAATCGGTTGGTTTTAAGTCGGTTTGGCGGTGCAACTAAGCTATCAAATAACAAAATCTAGACCAGAAAACGAAAAAAGTAATTCGTAACGACTTTTGTTTCTTTTTCATTTTTCGACTTGGCACTATGTTAATTTGGAACTTTGTAATAAATTTAAATGTATTACTTACATAATGATATTACTACATATATAAAGTATTGAACAACGTGTGTTGTCCATTACTTACAGTGTTTTGTATCAACAGTTAAAGCCCAAGTCCACTCCAAAAATAACTTACTTTCAATAGAAGCAGAAAATCAGACTAACCAATCAAAAAAGTCTGAGCACAATCGGATAACTAATAAGAAAGTTATGAATTTTTAATGACACTAAAAACTTCGAAAATCACTAGACAAATTGGCAACTCACTCATGAGTCTGTGACGGCAAGTCCTTACTATCCACTAACTGTTCTCTTTATATTGATGATATAAATTTCCCTTTTTCTCCTTAAGAATCGTATTTCTTCACACCAGCATCCAAGTTAGATTAATAGTAATATCTTTTTGTGTGGATGCACTAATATAGAGTAATTTTGTTCAAATTAAATCATGAAAAATGTGAATTTTTGATAAACTTTTTATATAAAAATCTATAATTATGAATATACAATATTCAGAAAAAAGTATAAATTCTTCAAAGTTCATAAAAGATTTTTTGAAATGTCATGCACGCAATATGATACAAATCATATAACCTGGGCAAAGGCATGGGGAACTCACATTTTGGGGAATAAAAAGGGAAATTAATGGGATTAAACCATATAGAGCAATTGGTAAATAGTGAGGACATGACGTCACAAACTAATAACCATTTTGGCAATTTTTTGTTGTGATTGTCATTGTTCCGTAGTTTTACACACTTTTTCAAAAATTCATAACTTTCTTATTAGTCATCCGAATATGCTCAAACTTTTTTTGATTGGTTTGTCTGATTTTTCTGCTTTTATTGAAAGTAATTTATTTTTTGAGTGGACTTGTCCTTTAAGGTCCTTTATGTTAAGAGAAAATGGACGCAAACATGCACTTACAATATTCAACGACATTTCATGTAAGACAAAAAGTAAATTACAGTCTTGTCAAGAAAACGGTCTCTTTAGTAAACTTGTCTTCGGAAACTAGCTAACGAGCTAAATCCAGCGACAGTAGACAGAAGAATGGTCTTGGCTGCACGACGATGAAGAACATTCGTGCGAGCAAATACCAATGCGTTGCTCCAGAAATTCACTAGACCCAGCCTTCCCATGAGAAAGTTTGGTAGTCCTGGTGGAAAGTTCATGCCGATATACAGTATATGGCCGAATTAAAGAACGTTGCAATGTTCTGAAATAAAGATATTACTTGAATTGCGCCGATGAGCAAGATGGTTTTATCTCCTTTCATCTTGCTCTGTTTTCTCCCGCGTTGCACCTTTCTCAAAGAGTAATGTTATCTATTTTTCAGGCGTAATGCTGCATAATATCATGTTGGGACTTTATGGACCTCGCATATCGGAATAGGGGAACTTCTCGTGCCTGAAAAGGGGCACTTACTAGAGATTAAAAAGGCACTGATGACAATGGAAAATGGACACTTATTGCAAAGAAAAATTGGAACTTGTCCAAGGAAAAGGGGCTCGTTTCAAAATAAAAGGGTCATTTATCATAGCTGAAAAGTAATCGGGGCACTGTGCAAAGTAAAATGGGCCGTTACCTATTTAAAAAAGGGGGCAATTCTTAA